TCAGCAATGAATTGGCCAATGGAAATGAATTTTGTACAGACAGGGCATACCTCTTTGGTCAATTTATTCATGGGTACGGTACGTAACCTTCCCCATGTTGAGTCGCAGCAGCAGCAGGAGAGGAACCACCCATCGTCTGGGAGTATAAGCGATTGTCAACTTTATCCGATCTCTTCTTCCTTCTATCAGTCCCTCCATTCATCCTTAAAAGTATTGTATTACGTATAAGAACCCCCAGTTTTGCTGTACCACTCCAATTGAGGTGTAAATAGTCCGGTCTCTGGTTTCGTCCAATGTTCCTAGAGAATTGCTGGCTTAGGAGCCCAGCCTCATCACAGAACATGTCAAAACCAGGTACCAAAGTCACACCAAAGTTGGAATGGAGCAGCTCCTTAAAAATTAATTCATTATAATGTGCAACTTTACGATTTAGCTCAACGAGTTTGGTTGGCAGCAGCGGACACACAAATATATTTGCTTTGGGGTTAAGCGCTTGGATCATTTCTACTTTCTGAACAAATGGTTTAAAAACATTGTTCTTTATATCAGCGGTATTTTTGATCTCAGGTTTCCTAATATCATTTATACCACACATCAAGAGAACATTCCTGTATCCACATGAAACTGTAGGATTTATATCCCCCACTACCGGAGCAAAATACTGTTTTCCGGGGAGCCACTGCCCAAATGATTTTTTGGGGTCCAGCCCGAATTTGAGACCACCAGTATGCGAGTCTCCGATGATACATGTAGAGTTCCTGTTTCTAAAGCTAACTGAACGAAAAGTTAGGCTGTATCTCACCCCACCAGTTATTGCCCCATCCTCGATACAGTGGCTGTAGAACTCTTGGCTGCGTCGAGTCATGCGATACATGGATCTTGGCACACATGTATGGTCATGAGCCATATGATCCGTCTTCTTATCAAAGAATTTGATGTTGCACTGGCCTCCAATAGAAACAGTGAAAATTTCGGATTCAGGGTGGATGGTAGTTTCATCATCCGAGTGTTTCGGTAGGGAGCCACCCTCTTTGAAGCGATTGATCAGCAGGCTATTGATCTTCGGTTTTTCACCACTACAGAATGCACCATTGATTTTGTCCACTAGATTGGAGAAGCTAGTTGAAGCTAGTTGGCCATTGGATGACTTGGAGCCATTATACTTGTATGGTTCTCCCAAAGAATACACAGCACGAGCTCCCTCCACAACAAAATCCTCGTCAAGTGATTGGCAGGCAAGGAGGAGAGTTTCCTGCTCTTCTGTGGTAATAAACTCTTCTATAGCGCCTACAACTGGTTCTTCTTTTGATTGGAGATGCTCATTAGTTATTAGGTCAGGGCCAGGGGCAAGTGAAGAACTGGTAATTTGGACGTTTAAATGGTCAGAAGAAGCCAAAGAATTTCGCTCAAGAGTGTTCAAAGACTGTCTAATGGCTGTTAGCTCCTGATTCGTCTCCAGAGACTGCTTGGAATTTAGCTCCTGGAGATTCTTCTCTATTTTTTCCATGAGATCGTTGGTCTTGGAGGAAGATTGAGCACTTACTTGAGGAGTAGAAAAGTCCTGCAGTTGCTTGTTCAACACTTTAATCTGTTCTGTTAGGCCACTATCAGACTCAGAAACCTTTCCGAGTGTAGAGTCAACTGAAGTTTTCAGCTGCTTTAGATCTCCTTCCATCACTTCAACCCATGCTGGAGCAGTGCCCTTGTCACTTACCAGAAGGTGCTTGATATGGAGGTCAAGGTTCTGGATGGCAGCAATGCTGTCGTTTAGACTGTCAAAGTCAACCTTTGCAAGCTTTTCACCAAAAGCTGTGATGGTATTAAGCTTCTCTGTGGCAATAGCTGTCTCACACTGACTGTTAGATTTTTGAAGTGTCAGAGTGTTCCTACACACATAACACACATCTTCAGCAGTTTCGAATGTGGGGATTGGTGAAACCAAACAAAAAGGGCAGTGCCAATTGGTCATGCTGTTGACATTTTTCTGGTTGAGTCCATTCATAGTTAGACAGTCTATGTGCCAATATTGCTTGCACTTTACACAGTCAATCTTCCATGACGATATTGACTTACTACATGGACATTTCGTCTTGTCCCTGTGTGAACTGTCAAACTTTGGGGGTGTTACATCACTGTCTACAACAATAGTTTCACAAGATACATCCTTTCCCTTCGCCTCTGGTCCTGGAGTGTTGTTCTTGATTCGGGACTTTGCCTTTTTGTCCGCAGGGGAAGGAATCCGAGACATATTGGTGATAGATGAGGCTCTCTTGTTACTCTTGTTGTTGTCACCCATACTCAGCAATAGTTAAAACAAACAGCAAGCAAAAGTCAAAACAATCAGCTGTTAAAGCAACGTGTAAACTTACGACACCCTTTTGAGGGAATTACGACATACTTTCCCTGAACTCAAATTATTTGTTATATAGCAGCGCTGAAAGTATTAAAACTCCTCTTTCATTTATCAATCAACAAAAATGTGGAACGACTGTCGAAAAATTGACAGTTTGATAAGCTTTACTAAGTCAACGAACTTAGTTAAAGTAACACTGAAAAGTGAGCTACTCAAGATACAGTCCAGGTACGAAGAATTAGAATGGACAGAATTAAACTTTGATAAGAATGAGCTTGTATTTTAAAACAGAGTCCTTTGACTTTATTATTTTGAAATTGAAGAATCGTCTGGCCATAACTCATTTCGTTCGCATTACAGATTCACATTCACTTTCATTTTCACTATCACGCACAGTACAGGGTCATACCTCAATACCAAATTATTATAGGGCACAAGAACAAATTTGTTTACAATTATCAAAATTTGTTGAGCCCAGCAGCTTACTTCCTATCCTCTCTCCCCCCGTCGTCTGGAGCGTGTGATTTTTGTTGATATCCGAGCTCTTGTTTTTATCTTTTGGTTAACTTTCTGTGATTGGACTCGGTATTTTCGTCCCCGCCGAGTGGGACGATGCTTGCTCGCCAGTTAAGCTATACTTTAGATGACACTAATTTCTACAAACCACAAAATATTAAATATAAAATGTGTCCAGTATGGCGCAAATGCGTAATTTGATAATTTCTCGACGCTGTCGTCGGGGTGAGAGTTATCTGAACCAACTGCATGCCCCTACGATTGCGTCACCACTGGTGAGCAAGCATTTGTTTGTTGTTTAGTTGTGTTGGAAGGGAACATTACTTGATTAATTCATCCATTAGGATTTTAATAACGATGAGCTAAGGTATACCGTTCATCTTAGACTATTGGATCAATCTTATTATATGATTAGATTTTATAAACGAACCTGGCATACAAAAGATTGTAATGCGGAGGTTGGCTGGCTCTTCTATAATAAATACGACACTCCAACTTACAGAATGCTTGCTAGAGATAAAACAAGATATTATCAGACTATACATGCAGCATGAGTAACTGGTGGATAAGCCTTCGGTAAAAACGGATCCGGAAAAGTCAATGCGGCACTCGGGTCCTTGGTATTGTCGTCGGTATATTGTCCATTATTTACGTTCTGCTTTCATAGTTCAAACAATAGTGAGCTCTAAATATACAGCTTTAAACCGATTAAGTATGAATGAATGAAATACCTGACAATCCGCACTCCTATAATTCAAAAGCATGAGTAACTCGTAGTGATGTACGATTTCTAGAAAGTTTAAATTAAATTTGGCGCTCACAGGTCCTCGTGATCATGTGATCGCCGCATAATGTTCTGTAAATGCGCAGGGCACCTTCAAGCTTAAATTATTCACCATACTGAGGCAGTCAACCAACGCGCGGCTTTATTTTTATGATATGATATGTTTTGATTGTTATTAATAAATACCAAAATTTAAATTTGTTTTACTAAAATTTGTTTTACTTTAAAATTGACCTTGCCTAGATTACTTAAGCTTACAAAAGCTGTAACATCTTAGCAAAATATAACTTGCAGCAGCCCCATACGTTGTCATGAACATAATATCGATACTACCTCTGTGATCACATCTTTCTCTGGGTGCAAAATGAATAGATATATATATATATAGATTATAGGTTTATCAGTTTTATAGAAATTTGAAAGTTCTATAGAAATTTATTTATATATGGATTATAAACATTTTTGTTTGTGTGTTTTGTGCTATGCATCCTTATACCTATTTTAGAAGAGATTTTTATAGAATGTTAGAAGTGCAGTAGGGTCAGTTTCAGACGAATTAAGCATAAATGACATCATTGCCATGTCTGAAGTGGTTTGTAAATGGGCCATTGTTAGCCCCAAGCGTTTGGTATTCCTGCCACTCAGCATTGCCTACTGCAAAGTAGAAATTTTTCTAAGACAATAGAGAAACTGACCTTGTCTCACTAAATTCAACCACTTTCCATAATAAAATACTAACAAATAAAGTTTTTAAAATAATTATATTCAACCATTAAAGAATATTTCCTCAAGTTAACTTCTAGTTAACAAATTCGTGGTTTAAGCTTTTATTTTATTTAAGAAAGGAATGTAAAATAAAACCTATTGTTTCATTGAAAAACTTATTGTTTCATTTAAAAAGATCATTTGGTAGATCTATCTCTACTCTTTCAGAAAACATCTTAAAGATCAATTTCCATGAGTGACCATATTGAGAGTTGAAACACCCTATATTGAGTCATCCTAATCTAAACTTATACAATAAGCTTGGAGAGGCAAGGAAAATTCTTTAATGGTATAAATTATTGACTGTACATTCCAATGTAACTTGTACAGTATAAATATTGGATAATTGTTCCCCTAGACTGAGTAAATAAAGGGCCCCTGGCCCTATGCCTATGGTCTACAAGATAATGATCTATTGTCAGGGACCCACCCCCTTGTATACTAAGAATAAAATCATAATTATGAGTGATTTATTGATAAATCTCCATAGAGATGATATGCTAAAGCAGTATAATGCTAATGCAGTATATATGAGTATTGCTGAAAGCACAGTCTAATTCACTAACATCAACTCTTATTATAGCAAATACCACCATTATTAAAGTTTCACCAAGAACCACTGAGAAGGATTGTTATGTAATGATGCCTCCCGTTACCAGGAGTTTTAGAGAACGCAAAAGCTTCGGTAAGTTAAAATATTTGGTGAGGGAGAACCTTAGCTGTGATTTAGGCCAGAAGCCAGTGATGGTTGTTAAATTATCTATATCAATGTATTGTTTTTGTATATTAGAGCTTTAGCCACAGCTCAGGTAGGTTGGTCTGCACCGAGCCCCACAGTTTCAATTCCTTGTTTAACTAGTGGGTCTTTGGCTTTATACCTACTTTAGAATTTACTTGTTGACCAATTTAACAGCTAATTGATCAAACTTCCCTCAACTTGAAAATCAGGATATTAAGCAGAAATGTACCAAAATGTCAATTTTTTGTCCGAATATGCTGGTTTTTATAAATGAGTTATGTGTTCACATATTGTTTAAGCTGCTAACAGTGCCTTCAATTAGTTAAACGCTAACATTTCCACCACCCAACAGCCAGCAGGAAGCGAGAAGTAGATGACATCCGTATGAAACACCCCAACAAGACTCCAGTCATCGTGGAGCGCTACAAACACGAGAAGAACCTGCCAATCCTGGACAAGACCAAGTTCCTGGTACCAGAGGAGCTCACTATGGGACAACTTATCTCCATCATCAGGTGATTGCATGATTGTAGTATCGTTAATTGTTTTATGAATTTGCAATGCAGACATGATCATTAGATGAAATTATGTAATACGTTGTGGATGGTATTACTCCAGATAAAAGAAAATCGTCGGTTAGTTAAGACCAGGGCTAGGAAGGGCCCAGTGTCTCGTTCCAGTGACCTGTCAAAATTAAGTTAAAAATTCGTGCATCTTCGTTCAGCTTAGTTTGCAAAAGGGTACGGCACCGGGAATTCCCAGGCGGTCACCCATCCAAGTACTAACCCGGCCTGCAGTTGCTTAATTTCCCAGATCGAACGAGATGGGGTGTATTCAAGCGAGTATGGCCGTATCCGACATCATTGAAATTTAAGCCTTTATATTTACATTGGTCTGTATTCTGTACATAAATATTTTGATATAAATGTATCATGATTTTACGTTTAAAATGTTATTTATAATACGTTAAACCTGATTGATTAAAATTTTATGTGGACATTTTTAACAGTTCGTTGTTTCCCCGCAAATCTAATTTACCAATCGTGAGGTTGCAGCTGTCTACTCCTAAGTTGTTTGTTTTAATCAGAAACACAGACAGACATTAACACATAAGTTACAGTGGTATTTCCTTGTTACGCTCACTTATATATTAGTGTGTTAGCATTGCTGTATTGGCAACGAGAATATACATTGATATCATGTCAATTACTGGATACTTGTCGGTATTATCTTGATAAAATCATATAATCTAGTTTATAGAAATGTGAGAAATGTTGGATATGAAGATTGGACTTGCTGAAATAGTATAATTATAGTAAAGCGTTTACGTTTGGCAGTGTTGTTGAAACTGAGAATGTAGAAGTATGTGCTGTGTCCCACACTCATGAGTAACAAGTGTAAAATGTACTCGAATTTATTTATAGTGCACTTTTCAGTTCTCATGGACCTACATTTTTTCTATGTCTTTAAATATTTCTCAAACATTGATAACTAAGATGATTTAAGAAATGTGACCTTAACAATACCACGTCACAATATCTTGTCCATTTATATGTGATCATTGACATTATTGTGTGTAATCGAAGTGTAATTACAACTGAGAAGTTATTCAGTCAGAGAATCTCCTGTGAGGTGAAATAACACAGAAGGGGCCATTTTGAAGCGGATAGAAAACTTTTGACTCAGCTAAAAATAGGGCCCTTCAGGTTTTAAGTCAATTTGCTTCACAGATAATATTCAGTAACGTGAGACACAAGTAATAATCTCATAACTGATAATTTGTGACAAATATAGTACATAACGCTACACTCCGCGTGTGTGTGTGTGTGCGTGTGCAGTAATTGGCAGTGTACGAAAATAGTAACACCATATTATGTGTCGTGTGTGCGTATGTCATGTGTAATGTGTGTGTGTCATGTGTAATGTGCGCGTTTCACGTTTGTGTCCTATTGGCGTGGGTGTTTAGTTATGGAATGAAATTCCCCGTTGAGACGTACATATATAATCACTATCATTCCAATCACGAAGAATTTTTTTTTCTGGGACGATGTATACTGTTAATAGTACATACTTGAATTACTTATGCTATGTAATTAAATAATAACCCTGAAGGTTAAACCTACTAACCTCGGAAATATAATTTCCTTACCAAATTAAGCTGGGGCTAGTCAAATAAGGGTATCTAGAATCATGACCCTTAGTTTCTTAATTTCCCTCTCCAACTTCCTCTGGGCTCTGGTTTGGGGCTGACATCTCCCAATGGTCCATATTTCGTGATTTATAATTTGACTGGAATTGAAGGGAACTGGAACCGTGCCAAACTACCGAGTTAAATGTTTCAGTATTATTATTGATTCCTGCGTAACAATGTTGTGATTTAAGCACTACAGTCACAATAGCGTTTCTATTTACATGATGCCCTGGATATATTATGTGTGTACAATTAATTGGGGGAACATTCCGGAAAGCAAAATTCAGTGCTCAATGCGGCCCAGGTCTCAACTAGACTCTTGGACCTCGGCCTTTAGGCTTTATGAATATTCTAACAGTTTAGCTAGTAGCATATATAATGTGTTTGTTTGCTTGTTTGTTTCCAGAGAGGTATACCGTAAAGAAGAAGGTAGATAATTTGTACATTAGATTATTAATTTCTTAGAAAACTACACCAAGTTTCGATTTTTCTTATCTTTCCTAAACAAATTAAATACTCTGACTCTATTAAATTTTCAATTTATATGATTAAGAGATAACTCTATGCTATGGACTTTATTAAGTTATATTGAATAAATCTGTCCGGTCTTTTAATTATAATGATTAAGATTTAAGAGATTATTCTATAAAGGGAGATTACTACGCTAACTTAATTTAGTTATGTATTATAGAATAAATAAAAGGTTTCTTAAAAGATTCGTAAAATAAAAGTTGATAGCTTTTAGCTTTAGCATAGCGTAGCTTCGTGCTTTTAATATCAAGGTCAGAATCTTTGAGTTTATAAAACTGAATGATGTTGTCGACTAAAAACACTTTAAACATTCAAGCAATAGGGTTGGTTCCCAGACGACGAGCGTCACGTGATCCAGCTATCATGTCACGTGGTGCCCACCTGGCGTCGAGAGTCTGGGATCAGTTTCTCAATAACATGTCACAATAAAATTGCTGCAACTGCACTATAAATGCCACTTATGCAATAAATGAAATATTAGACACAACGTCAAACAATCCAATCACGTACAGAGTATAACAGACCACATATTTAAAATTAACAAAAATATTTCAGGCGCCGGCTAACTCTGCGACCGGACCAAGCGTTCTTCCTGCTAGTAAACCAGAAAACCGTAGCAACCTTGACGCTGACAATGAGTGAGGTTTATCAAAACGAGAAAGATGAGGACGGTTTTGTGTACATGACCTATGCTTCACAAGAGATGTTCGGTTAAAAAGAGTGAAGGTGTCGTTTCTTCGTGATGTTATCTTTCGGATTGTGGTGCTTCCTGTTGCTCTTCAAGCTTGGACATGTGATGTAGTAGAATGTATTATATTATTTTGGGGTTGAATGACATAGACATTTCAGTGATTTTTCAATTGGAGTGTCCAGGCTTGAGAGCTTAGAATTTAAAGAAACTTTGTAGAAGTTTTTCTCTTCTATACTGTGTTAAATGAAAAACGATTAAAAAAACAATACTTACATTTTAATTCTACGTGTACTATTCACATGACTTTATCGTATAAAATATGCCAGAAAAATTATAAAACGTAAAATATCATTATAATTTCTTCGTGATTTAAAAACTGAATTG